AGAGAGAGAGAGAGAGAGAGAGAGAGAGAGAGAGAGAGAGAGAGAGAGTGGGAGGTGGGGATAAGGTGGCAGTGCAGGGGGAGAGAAGGAGGGGTGGAAAGGGTGACGGATGGAACAATAGATACCTCTCCTTAGAGTGGTGTCCACAATTTGAGTTTGACAGTTCAGCTGATGGTAGCGACTCTCTTCTCGTTGGCAATCCTCTAGAAGCTGCATCAACTCCTCTTCTAGCTTGTCCTGTTGGCTGCCTCTCCAAATATTGTCACCAAATTAACATGTCAATATTCACAATGCCCTCTCTCATCATTAGTCTTCCACAACCCGAAAACCGAAAAGAAGTTTCCGTTAAACCACTAGTACCTCCGCCAGTTGGGCAAATTCGGAGGCCTCGGGTGGGCATCCGATCTTTTAGGAGGCTGAAACGAAATGACGCCTGCCGATAAGATTTATCGACGGCGGCCATCGCCCGGTCCTGCCCAGGGAATTTGGGAACACTGCCAGTTTTTACTGCCATTAAATGGCATTAACAGCGATTTCGTCAAAACGGACATATTGAGGGTCCAGTGTTCTTAAAACGCCATACCCCCTGGACTCCAGCTAAGTCCAGATACATCAGGGGGTCCGTCCAACATTTTAACAACACTGGACCATCAAGAGCTAAAGCTTTTACCTGAATCGGGCCAATTTAACCGGTTTCAATTTCGTTCAAAAAATAAAATAAAAAGTCGGTTTTCCCCAAATTGCAGTTCATTATTGTCAGGAGCTTGAGCTCAGCAGTCATGTTTGAGTTGATCCGCCTGCTAGGACTGCAGGGTTGGTGTGAGTAGAGACAACAACTTTTCTTGATTCTTGCGTGTCATCTTTGCTCACGGGCCACGCCAATCTTCCTTCTCTGCATCGTTCCAAAATTTTAACCGGTGTCCCGAAGCACAAGCCAACCACCGTTTGTAACGTATTAACTTCTGGGCAACGTGGCGAGGTGTCCTTATACAGCAGTCAATCAAATGCATCCTGGGCAGACAGCCTGTCCAGGTTCAACCTCTAGATGAGTCTGGTGAAGGTCAGACGAGACAGTCTATCACAGTCGTCACTCACTTCATGAAGTTGGGTTGAGCGAATACAAAACACACATACAAACATGTATATACACATGTATAGCACGAACATGACAACACATATATACACATGACAGTTTCGCTAGCTCTCTGCCTTGGTAAATTGAGCGGCCAGGATTGGGCTTGTTACAAGTTGTGGGCGATTCTTATCAGTTTCTACCATGGCTACGCCGGACCCGGACAGCTCATGTCCGGGGACCGGACGCATGGCCAGTCGGTTCCAGACGTCCGGACTTCCGGACACATCGTGACCTCCGGAAATGCATGGGTTCCGGACGGTCCGGACTGGTAAGCAGGTCCGGAAATGTCCACACTCCAGACCATGACAAAAATTAAAAATTAAAAAATATGAAAAAAAAAATGTTATGCAGAATAGCAATGCAAACCACTTTTGCCTCAGCGTCATATCAGAGTTCCTAACCAAACTTGAGTTAAAAGTCAAAAACTATAAAAACTATTAAAAACTTTTAAAAACTTAAAAAAAAAAAGGTAATGAATTATAATAAATTATTAATAATTGAAAAAATGGGTATGTCTAATAAATTATTATAGAGAGAGACTGTGTCCGGACCCCCCAAAAGAACAAAAACGGGCCTGAAAAACCCTCAAAACAATTTTGGGGGCTTGGCTCCTCAGTGGGAAAGGGCCCTGGACCTTTTTTTTTTTTTTTTTTCCGGATTCCCCCCCCTTAAAATCTGGCAGATCCGGACCTTTCAGACCGGACGTCTGGAGTCCGGACTGAATCCAGACCGTCTGGACAGCGGTCTGGACGTCTGGATCGTAGCCATGGTTTTTCCTTTGGGATTGACCTTTTTTTTTTTTTTTTTTTTTTTTTTTTTTTGCGGAGAGAGAAACAACCCTATCGACTGCTAGAGGTGCTGATACGAGTATATATCCGTAGCTCTCTCTGGGTGGCTCCGGCTATTGGTGTGTATCTGCACCTGTTTGAAAACGGGTCCAGCGTCCCAGTACAATGATGTGTAAATGTTGATGATAATGTACATGAGTTTGAATTGAATTTGAAAAAATGAGATTGCTGCCCGAGCCATTTATCTCCACGAAGTGTACTAGGACTAAGTTCCTGTATTTGAGAGTTTATATACAGACTGTGCCTGCTTCTCCTTCCGCCCTGCTTACTCGGCCTGCTCTCGAACATCCCTGGCCGGCAAT